TACAAACGGTGAGGCGGCACCCTTTAAGACGTCAAAATGATGACTGTTGTAATACAAGATAAAAGTCAATGAGAAAGATAAATGTCAGTCCATCTGTTTGGCTGCCCTTTTCAGCGCTGGACTGAATTTGATCAGAGCTTCAAAATCACTGCAAATGAAGACAACAAAATGCAACCTCAACAAGAAAATGCAGTATAACATCAATCTCTCATATAGTATGCACATTAAAAGAACAGCAACAAAATGAGCTAATGTAATAGCATTTGCAATCTCAGCCTCAGACGGCACGTCCACAGACCTCTTTGTTCACCAACTGTCTGATGCATAAGCAAAAAAAATTGGAAAGCACTTTCTCAGTCTGGCAAGCTTTAATCTGATTGGCAGGTTTTATGCAGCTTTTTGGGACTTGGGGCACAAAGTCGAGTTTACATGGCTGGTACAATAAGCGCTTTTCAGTAAAATCAAATCACCGGATTTGCCAAAGTTTGCAAAGTCACTGGCATCAAATTTGAAAGATATTACAGAGTTTTGTTTGAGGCACTCAGAAGCAAGTAAACTTGATATCCATGAGTATAACTGTATATTCTGCTTACTTTCTAGTTATGTATGTGAAATAATCATTGCTTATTTGGCCTGACCGATCACATTATTTACATCCAATTTGAGCTTTTTTATTTTGTATTTTTTAGCTATTACGAAGACAAGAACAATGATGAACCCTGAAAGAAACTTTAAATGCCAGCCATACATCTATATAGGCAGTTCTCCAGAATAGTTGCAATGTAGACCAGACTTAACAATATAGTCAAAAGATTGGCTATGCAAGACTACTTTATTTTATCTAGAAGTTTGAATTGTGTTTGGAAGAACTGGAAAATCATAGTGCATATACCAGCCAATAGGATTCATAATCCATGGGCACTTAACACAGCACTTAAATGTATCAGCATAAATTGTGCACAGTCTGTATTTGGCAGTCCTTTACAGTGCAAGTAGAGGTGCTCGGGGGGAAGGCAACCTGATATATGATTGATGGGGAAATAAGAATAGGATCAGGAGGGCTGGCTGAATGGCAAGATGAATGCATGAGTTTCCCAGCTTGGAGAAAAACGATATTCATGAGAATAAATTGACATTGTATCTTCTGTTCTAGTTAACCTTCCATTTCATCCCTTCTTTTATGCCTCTACCCCATGAATCAGACAGGGTCACAGTATGGTAACCACAACAACAACATCTGGCACAACTCAGTAAGAGCGGTGAAGGAAAACCAGGACAAGAAGAAATGGCGAGATATGAAAAGATGACACTGAGGTTGTGATTGATAGGCATGGCAAATGAACAAGGCTTCCATTAGCTGGTGCCTGCAGAAGATGTGGAGGCTTTATCAAGGGAGGCTGAAAGCTTCCTTGGGCTATGAGTGTTTCCAGTCTGTTTTAGTCATACTCCAATGACAGGTTGGAGGAGATTATTCGGCAAAGCCTACACTGTGCTATGAGCAAAAATGAGGGGGGAAAGATAGCTTGGATTACAGAGCAGACGAAATCTGCCAATTAAGGACAGCAAAATCTTTGCTCCTCAGCGTTGCGCCTTACAGTTGGGACAGCAAAATGTAGAAGAAAGAGTTACAGAAAAGCTCAGACAGGAAAACACACCAGGTACGGAAAACAGCAGGTTTGCCTCACACATACAAACTTGTTTATGTTATTCAAGACATAAAAAGAGAAAGCTACGCAGTGTTAATACATTTACATTTCACTTTCTATAAAAATATGCTGCATTTAGCAATATGCATAACATGAAAATCCTCACATGTACACTTTTCAGATCAATGATCTGAAAACAAAGCAAAGCTAACAACAAATTCAACCCTCATAAATGAAAAGTAAAGGACATACTGGCCCCCTTTACACTTGGCGGTTACATCAGAGATTGAGCTGACCAAAAATTTTTCATCGTTCACCGAATTTGTAAAACACGGATAATTCAAAATGCTCGCAGATGAAAAAAAAGCCATTTGGTCTATTGCGTTTGGCTGCTTTTGAAATATTCCCACATTAAAGGATGCTAATAGGGATTAGAAGTGAAGAAATAAAGTTTTAAAGCGCCCACACGAAAACAGACTGGGAGAGAGACGAGAGTGAGGATTTTAGGAGAGAAATTTGAGATTTTAAATGTAGTGCAGTGGAACAATTCATGGGATATTGTTCATTAAATTGGGTGACCAGATCCTAAAACCACAGTGTAAAACAGAATGAAAAAAAAAAATGAATTTTTTTGTGATTCGATCACCGAAAATACACTTTAATGCCAGGTGCAAAAAGGGCCAAAAGTCCAATCAAATGTTATGACAGTAAGTAATTGAGAAAGAGCCACGTAAATGTCAAGTCACTCTAATTCGTACCACATGTGCAATATCACCCATTTTTCTCAATACAACATTAAAAAGACTTAAAAAAAAAACATCCATTTGTTAAATTCAACACCTTTGCCCAATGCCTGCAGATTTTCGTCTTCAAAAAGAGCCTGTTCAGTGAACTGGTGTTCACAGACAATGGTCAAGAAGGTTTTAGAAATTAAACAAAAGAGACACACTAACTGCCAGACATTTGTTACCTCACAAAACCGCAAGTTTGTCACGTTTGGGAATGTGTGCTCACTGAAGAAAAAATATCAAATGAAATATAGTATAACTACAATATTGTGACGGCATTGTATGATGCTAAGAAATTTGTGGTGGTTTATCAATTTACGCAATGATTTGCCCAAGATGTATGCACTAAAAATCAGCATTCTGTGAGATTATTTTCATTATAGTCAATTACTAGTAGTGCTAAACTCATCCTTGAGAGTTAATATCTTTCACACTAATGAATTCCCATTGAGACGTTGGGGAAAACAAAGACTGACTGAGTGTGTTGCTTTGACATGCATTTTTTATATCTACAGAAGAGAATCTGTCTCTGACTATTGCAAACAAGGCCATTAGCTATATTGGGGTCATTCAGCAGTTGGTAAGGCTTAAATAATGCACTTTTAAACATGTGGTTCGATCTCTGAGTGTATCTGACTGTAACGTCATTAGCAGAGTGCATACCAATGCCAACGTTTCATGAAAGTGCACTTTTTCTTAATGAAAATGTAACCTCTTAAGCATAATGTCAGTTAACATTCTAAAATTTGCTGTTAAGATTTCATTCAAACATGCACTTTATGTGAAACATAAAACAATGAGGAATGATATATTCAGGCCAATGAGGGCCTAATGGAGTTTAGACTCGTAGACCAGCTCTCTTTTAGTGCTAATACTGGGTGAGTGTAGATAATGACACTGAAAATGCCTGTTTTGAGAGTTGATTTTGGCCATAGTTTACCAAAAATGGAAGTATCTGTCAATATTTACTCATCTTCATATCGTTACAATCATGATTCATCAGGAGACCACAAAAGAAGATATTTTAAAGCATGTTTTAGATGTTTTTGTACATACAGGTGGGGTCCAAAACAACAATGGATCCAACACTTGAGTTGGACACGTTCTCCTTTTTCAAAATATCTTCTTGTGTTCCATAGAATAAAGAAATGCATACAGGTTTGTAACGACATGTAGGTGAATAAATGATGGCCAAATTTTTGGTTTCGGGTAAACTCCCCCTTTTGTCCAAAACTACCTACAGTAAACCTTCTAGCGGAATGGAATAATGGCCTTTACCTCCTTTACTTTCACCTTGTCGCAGAAGACCTTTAATGGAAGCTCATGCCATTAAAGAGCATTTCACTATGCTAAATACCCTTTGTAGACGCTAAAAGCACTCAATCACCTTGATGTTAGCAGACGTACAGTACAATAAATGGTCCAGTTGGTTCCATGGGGGAAAGTAGTTAATTCTGGGACTACAGTGTTCAGCTGGGGATACTGTATGTCTGGAATGAGGAGACAACAAAACAAATGTGTGGGAATAATCTAAGAAACACTTTCAATCAATACAAGGTATAAAATATGAGGGCGGAAATCATACGCCGGGCTAAAAATAGAGCAATTTGATAGGTTTCTTCATGCTGAGGAGAAAATCAAACACTGCGCTTTGATTAGTACTCCACACCTTGTCTCTGAGGTTGAGGTCCTCCATTAAATATTAATGTGTCCTTGAATCCACCTTTGCTTCATCAATACTTATTGACCAATATTATAACAGCCATTTAGTCCCAGGCAACGATGACCAGCTCTTGCATTTGCAATCTCTACAGATGTGAAGATGTGTGTGCTGTTTAGCAATTGCTTGCCATTTATCATTAGGAGCACAGTAGGGTAGGTTTCCTTTTCATTAGCGATGAGGAAAATAAGAGGTACGAAGTAACTCTGGTGGGAGGAGAAGATGCAGCTTTCTGGTCTATTCTGGGTTTCTCGCATCACAGTCTGTCAGTCTTCAGTAGAACGTGAAAGATACTGGAATGTTTCATCTCAGCTGGGCCTTTGATACGCTTCATTTAAAAGCAGGGGACTCAACTTTTCCATCTGCCACTTTTAAGACTATCACTATTTTTTGTTGTTGTTGTTTTATTTTTATTTGTTTATCTTGTTAGCCCACTTACTTTTATCATTGACTCCGCGACCAATGAATCAGAAAAATACTACGCATTTCAAACAGACTGCTCAAAGGAATTGCATCTCATTTTAAGTGCTCTTTGAAAATGCTTCACAGAAAACTTCAGGCTCCAAAACGATATGCCATTTCACACATAAAGTCTTTACTGGTAAATTACAGGTAAACTACCGTTAAGAGATCATGTGTGAACAGGAGCTTTTCAAAAATACCGGTAAATTCGTTCCGGAAATTTACCAGTAAGGGAGGTTGTGACATTATCAGTAAATTACTGGTATGATGCTGTGTGTGAACGCAGAATGAAGATTACCGGTATGAGCACTGTAACACTGTATAAGAAAAAGCAACTACCAGCACAACAGCGTTAGCAAGGGGAGAGTAATGATTGTTACTTACGAATCAGAGGAACACTGGCATTGGCTGTTCCCAACCTGTTGACGGCCACACAGGTGTAGTTGCCATAGCGATCCTGTGTCATGTTCTTCACTGTGAGAACTGATCTGGAGCTGAGGTTCTTGATGTCTATTCCTTGGCCCATGTTAATCCTGAAAATAGGACCATGAGTTGACATGACACGTCAAGCAGTGACACCTGCTGCAGTGTGGCATGCTATAAATCCATCCATCAAAAACTATTTGTAGTCAAACTTCTCATTTATACATGCAGAGAGGCTACATGGAATACAGTACTTGAAAAAAATAATTTGGTCACACCATTGTAGTAAACTGCAAAAAAGATGATTAAAAGGTGTAAAGCATACACTACTTTTCTGGGGGTAAGTATGGCTTTTAATACTTACTTATTTTTCAAAAGTGACAGTAAAAATATTTACATTGCTACAAAAGATTTATAAAAGATTTGAAAAAAAAATCCACAAATTTTCAGTATTGATAAAAATAATAATAAATGTTTCTTGAGCACGAAATAAGCATATTAGTATGATTTTTGAAGGATCATGAATACCTGAGCAATGAAAAGTCAGCTTTGCCATTACAGAATAAATAAATTACATTTTAAAATACATTAAAATAGAAAACAGTTCTGGTAATAATATTTCACAATTTTACTGTTACTATTATATTTTTGATAAATGCAACCTTGGTGAAAAAAAAAAAATCCATCATTTGTTTCATTTGTTTAGTTGTATATTTTCTACTTTGCTTTACTGTATTTTTGTTTTATATTACTTTTTCTTTTTTAGTGTGCATGTCTGCTGTGGTCAAATCTATTTTACTATTTGACTGAATTATTATTATTCTGGATAACAGCAATTTTTTTGAAAGGTACACGGCTACTTTATGATAGAATTGATGATTAGAGTTTCAATGTTATCTGCCTACAGGGTTTTAATTAGGTAGCAAGAACTTATAAGTTGATTATTCCGAAATGACTATTCTCTCTCAATAAAGACAATAAAGTCAAAAGGGTTAAACATGAATAATTCTTAAAAGGTAAAGGAATTAGCACCAAATAAATGTGAAAACTATTTAATGATATGAATTAATATATTTAAACAGTAATATTGTTCCTCTGAGGTGTCACACTGTTATGGAGGATGATAACGCACTGATTTCTTTCTTCATCTAAGAATAATAATGTTTTGGACACTTATTAATGTGTCTTACACCAAAAGATGGCAGGTAGATGGTAGTCTGTGAGTTATGAAGGAAAATGTAAAACATTTTACAATTGTCCCTGGTCCTGAGGGAATAGCCAAAGAGAAAATCAGAAGCAGAAAAATTTGCACATGGCTTTTAGCTTTGTTAAGGTCCAAAGTTCGGCTGCAGCTGCTCTTGAGAGTCCTGACTTTGGGTCATCCATGTTACTCTCACAGGTAAAGCGATGTGCTGACCTTTTGTCCCCTAATTCTCAAGTAGCTTGTCTCCTGCTGACACTTACTTAAATAAGAACAAAAACTTTTCTTAAAACAAAAGACCACTGCTACAACTGTATCTGAGGGTTATAGGCCATTATACACAAAAATATTAGATTTTTTTTTTAGAATCACCTTGCTTATACAGTATAACAATCTGTTCAGCCTCAGTTATTAGCAAGCAATTATATAAACTGGAAAACAGAACAATATTCTTCACAAGTGCTTTCCATTGCACAGGTATCTAAATTTGGAGACCCAACTATCTTTACATTTACAAAAATGTACATAGGCCTGGGCAATAAAACGGTATCGATATTTATCGACGGTACACCCTCTTCGATAACGATATAAAAAATGTTCGATATAGCGCACGATATAGGCACCTGCTCTGAGTGACGCAGACAGCACACACAAACATGAACACATGCTGAATTGAGTGCTGTGCCTGCCTGTGATGAGGAGATTGTGAATAAAAAAAATGAATATTAGGCGAATTTAAAATAAACATTTGCATTTGAATGCAAAAATAGTACAATCAAATTTTAGGAGTGCGTCAGGGAGTGTCATCAGTGGAGCACGAGATGCGGTGATAATGATGTAAGTGAAGTTGTTGCATTTTAATGTTTTGTTAGTCTAGCTCACGAGACGTGCCCCTGCTGCGTTATTCATTCAAAATATTAGAGAAATATAGAAGCTCAATGCGGAGAAGATCTTGAATGGGTTAAAACCGAAACCAGGCCATTCACACAGAACGCATACTCAGCGCATTTTTTACACGGGCAAATATGACTGCTGCACTCACGTCTCACACAAGAGATGTAGCCATGCAAAGTTAAAACATTTACACCTT